CTTGCGAAACAAGGCGGCCCGGAACCCCCCCTTCCTCCCCCACGCAAATGTTCCCACCTGCCCCTACACACTCTCATCACTTCCCCCACAACCCGACCTTGATTGTGCGCCGCACAGAGCAACAATTTAAAGCGATAGTCTAATCTCCTTGGATTGTTTTGCATGGGTAAATATTTTGAGGCGCTTAATCTAACTGAATGTAATGATGCATTGATGGGGTAATTTATTATTTAATCAGGCTCGCGTGGAGGCTGATTACTGGAGTGATGTCACTGTATATGTGCAGGTGGGAACATTTGCGTGCAAACACACACATACATGCACTCTTTGCTCACTCAGTCATCATTCCTGAGTGTGCGCCTGTGAGTGATTTTTGGTGAATTACCATAAGAATAAAAGATGGGAGAGACCAAATCCTGCATGAGTGGCTTGGCGCGGCGTGCGCGCTTCGCCTCCGTGACGCTGCTCGCATGAAGTGCATGAAGTTGGTGGCAGAAGCGGCTTAGCGGCTGTCATTTGGATAGAATCAGCATGGTATCACTGGCGTGGTAATGGGAGTCTGGAAACAGGAGGTGGGATTGTTGGAATCCAGAATCCCAACGTGTCTCTGGCCCCCTTATGCTGCTGCATGGCTCGCCCCTGGCCCAGCCTATCTATATGCTAAGTGCCACCGGCAAACCAGACTAAACAATTATTGCGTCTGGGAATCATGTTGAGCCTCTTGTTGGCTTGGCTTATTTGCCCCCCCCCCAAAAGAAGATGCATGAGACTGAGTGTGTGTTTTGGCTATTTTCTTCTTATTTTGTGCGTAAAGAGTAGAGTGTGTGTCCGCTTACATTGGAACCTCATTGTCTGGAAAGCTTCCTCGATGCATGATTCATCATCTCTGCTGTGATTGTTGAGTCCACTCATGTCCACACACACACACACACACACACACACACACACACACACACACACACAGACTGCTATAACTGTAGAGCTCCCCCTTTAGATTATCTTTCTCTGGCATAACAGAAAATAAACAGTTTCATCACTGACTCACCATTCTTATCTCATTCCTGTCTTGATGCTGGTAATTATAGATAATGTAATTTCTATCATCCGCTGCTCTGTGGTGAGTAGCCCTGCGATTAGCCATGCCAACCTCAACTCTCCCTATCGCCTCTCATAATATAGCACCGCATAGCCTTCATTATCCTTCGATATCCGTCAGGCTATGATAGTGTAATTGTACTTGTATCTCTTATCATGTTAAAGCTGCTTCATTTTTTTTTTTTTTTTTTTTCCTGCATCACCTCCAGAGCCCAGAGCATTTTCAAGCAGGCGATGCGTGGCCCGTACATCCTCTTCCATGTGGTCCCCGCAGCCATGAAGAGGCACTACGAGCTGCTGATGGCCCAGACCGAGCTCAGCCCGCCCCAGCCCAACAGAGTCCGCTTCAGCCAAGTCTCCCTGCAGTCGGGGGATCGGTCCAGCCTGGTGGGGGGGCTGCCGCCCAGATCTGGACCACAACCAGGCCTCAACCACAAGTAGGTTTAAGAGTTGCTGTGTGTATTCCTATCCAGCACGGTGTTCATGTTAAGACAACTTACACAGAGTTAGAAAGCTAGACACACACACACATTACCATGAAGCATGATAAGGCTAAGGAATCTCAAGCTCCCGGTAAATGCAATTCTGTTTTAATTACACCAGTCAATGACTTTTCATTCATAGGTTCACTGCGGATCCATCAATGTTTAAAAGCTACACTATGAAACGCAGGAGGACAGTTTAATAATCATTTCTACCTGAGGACTCAAAGTCCACGTCGCTGATCACCTTGTTAAAAGACCATTTTATCTGCCTGTGGTTACTATTCATTTCTGTAACGTCTTCGGCCTAATTCCAGAAAGCTAAACATGTGGGTGTTTATCAAGTAGGTCCTTGTCTACAGGTTTATAGTCCTAATCTCAATCATATAAATTCATGAATCCTCTATACATTCTGTTTGTTACATTGAGTCAATGTGTAAATATCCCCCTCTATACAGAGATAATCATGTTGAGACATAATTTTACTGCATCATACTTAACAATATAGTAGCTTGACAGATAATATGTATATGCAGGAGCACCAAGGTTTGCACACTGTTGGCCTCCAAATAAATAGCTACTTTCTCTTTTTCTCTTTTCAAGGCAACGGTTCTCTTTCACACTTGCCCGAGGAAGATCTTGTTGAAATTACCTAAGAAAAGTGCCCTGTGCAGCTAAACTGCAGTTCACTGTGCAACGCTTCATGTCTGTTTAACACTTCCTCTGAACAGAAACTGTCAGTCCTGCTGTGACTCTGCTGCCCATGTACTCAGCGCTCGGTTCAGTTTGCCATTTCCTTAACGATAGTTACACGTATATACATACTGTACAAAACATGCAATTGTCTTATCTAGGCGTGCAAATCAAGAGAGGAACTATTTGTAATCTGTATAGGAAACAAGAGGAGTAGTGAGGAGTCATCCACCACGACGGCATAAAATAGGCAATACAATATTTTCTAAAATTGTAAATCACTGCAAATCATGAGAGGTCCTTGAGCATACAGTCATAATTGAGCACAAGTATTACGCTGATGGATCCTGCAATATGCAAGATTAGCTTTGGATAAACAGACAGACACAGAGATGCACACGCACGCATGCTCACACACACACGCACAAAAACGACGAATACATAATCTCCTGGTGGAGATCAAACATGTTTTGCTATAATATCGTGATGGAAAGTTTTTTTGTTAGTTTCGGTTGTTGAACTACTGTTGAACTACTTGTAAAAAAAAATACAGAAAATATGGAATATATCAAAAGAGTATGCTGGAAATAAACTTCTGCTTTACTTTCCAGCACATTATGTTATACGTGTTCCATTTCTGTTGGTAAAACACAAATCAAACCTAGAACTTTGTCTTGCTCTTTAGCCACCCGGGACCCGTGGCAGGAAGCACCCCCGAGCCGAGCCGACGGTACGTCACCTTACCCCACACCGTGGTCGCCAGGACCTCTTCAGCCACCTCGCCCTCCCTGCAGCGCAGGATAAGCACCAACCTGTCCACCAGCTCCTACTTAAAGAACAAAGGCCGCAAATTCAACATCCAGCTGAAGAAAGGTAAGAACCAGCAGACACATGAATGCATGGTTGGAAAAGTGAAAATCCTTCTCTGCATTTTCATGACAATAATACTTTGAAAGTTTTTACACAACACAGACTGGTCCGTTGTGATTCTGCGTTCTGCCCGTTCATACAAGAAACATTAGACTACTGGAGTTTGTTGTAATCCTGTGCGTCCATCTTTACTCCTGAAATGCGCTACAAGGCTAACGCTACTGTTCTGCACCATCTAGACAACAACGTGTTCCTGGAGGAGCCAATTTGTTGAGCTGGTGACGTCATGCGTCACTGTGATTGACACAGCTGTTTCATAGCGATGAGACCAGTGATGTGGCTGAGAATATATTTATTTATTTATTATTATTATTTATTTATTATTCCTTTCCCTTAGAATAGGGCCCAGAGGGACTGACAGTGGTTTGACTTTGTTTGCAATCAGTCAATCAGTCACTTCATTGACAAGTTACATCCGATCTCTCATCAGAGAGTTGTAGAAGCGCTCAGTGTAACAGATAATATTACAGCATAAAAGTGGGCAGGCTCTATTTTGCAGGCTTCTCTGATTCTCTACAAGCCAGATCAAGCAGCATTCTGCATTTAATTGCACTTCAAGTTTAATTTAATGTCACCGTACAACACAGGGTCGGACTACAGAATGCTGCTGTAATTCCTTTAAAAACAACAACTATTTTTAATGGTGATGTGGAGGATGAGGTGGAGGAGTCTCACTGCCTGAGGAAAGAAAGTATCGACACAAAGATACAGTTTTACTATTTTGATCATTAAGTAGCTGATGTGACAACCATGAAGTAGTTCATCTTTCGAGGGGAGACCAGATGCAAAACACAGATCAACCACTTCTTTAAAAAACAGGGTTTGTGGTTTGATGCACTCAGGCTACATCACCATGGTCTCGCGGTTTACACATTAAGATTCAGCAATCAGCCCGCTTCCAGCTGAGGTTGGTTTGTTTGTGGACTTGGACAGGCCTTTGATCCTGGAACAGTTGTATGTCTTCGCCAACCATTGTGGTGGGTTCACTGCCAGACTTCATCTCCTTTTCATCACTTCTCTCTTGTAATATGACTTGACGAGCAGTTGGTTGTAAAATGAACCAGCGCTGAGGGGACACGCCTACTCTTTGTCTCTCTCTCTCTCTCTCTCTTTGCTCCTCTTTTTTTCTGTCGGAGGCAGCAGATGTTAAGTCGAAAGCTGGCACCGAAGACCTTAGCGGCGAGCTTCAGGGAATAATGCAGCAAGTGAGGGCAGCAGCGCAAACTAAATGCAACGCGCTCGGGGGAAATGCAGTCACAGGCTGCTCTAATATGTTTGGTGAAGGTTCCCGATCGCTGTCAGCAGAGCTTCAGAGGTTTTATACAACGTGGGGCTGCAGTGCAAGTTATATATATATTTTTTGTTTAAAATGCGATGAAGTTCTTCTCGGGTTTATTTCTGCACACACACACACACAAGTCTCTCAATTTTGTGAAACCAAGCTGGGGCCATGTTGGTGGCGCTCCAGCAGCTCCAGAGACTGATGCCAGTAGTTTAGTTTATTTTCACTAGCCACTCCATGGTCCAATTCAACACCAGTCATAACTCTCAAAAGTATGCTCTTGCCCAAGTGACAGAAATGGTTTCTGAGATTATTGCTCATGATTTAAATGGGGCTTAACAGAATGGATGTGCCTCGCTTGTAAACTGCAAGCCATTCGTGAACTACAAATGGAGATGTATTATTGTCCAAGCGCTGTTGAATTGGAAATCCAACTGAGCACTTAAAATCCGACGGAGTCGAGGGAAGTGTGACCCCTGGAATCCATTTTGACAGTTCCGTTTGATTACCATCGGACTTCATCACTACTAATGTACTTTTCGAAAGGCTTCAGCAGTTTTGTTGTTGACTCGTTGTAATTTTTGCGATTGGGCCTAAGTGGGCCTGAGTTCCGAGTGGCAGGAGCAGATCTTGCTTGGCAAATTAACAAGAGTGCCCTAATCAAATACTGCAGCCCGAAAAGGACATACGCACCCCATTAAGTCATTCTAATGTGCCTCGGCCTCTCCTCATGTTTGCTGTTTAATTGGCTTATTGGAGCCAGGATTCCAACTAATCCAGAAAGGATACAATTACTTTTATCCTGGCGTCCTATTACCCAAAATAAAGACGTCAGTGGTTAATTACTGCAGGCCTATTAGAGATGCGTTCTCCCAATTGCCTGATTGGAGGCCGTTAATGACGGCATCTGACAATGGGCAGGAGTTTTGGTTCCGCTCATTAGGCTGTGTGAACCAGATGAGGGGAAAGGCACTGGCATGGGAGGGAGGGAGGGGGCGGGGTCACAGTGGAAAGGGGAAGAAAGACGGTGATGTAGAGGATTTGAAAGGGGCGCCATAATGTGCAGTTTATCCGGATCTGAATCCGTCATGCTGGTCATGGAGTGGTGACCAACACAGCTTTGGTTAGAAGTCTGTGAAGTCACACGGACACCTTTTTGGTTCGAAATAAAAAACGGTATTCTATAAAGTTTAATTCCTGAGTAGGAAACTGATCGCCGTGGCGGAGATGTGACCTTGCACTAAAAGTTTTTGGCTTTCATGAAGACAAACTCTGCAGATTTAACATTCAACATAAACGACGGCAGCCGTTTCTGTCTGCTTTGGAGGGATCACAGCGTCGGTATCCTCAACAGCGAAACTTTTTCCTCTTCACAAGCAACCTCTTCATCACCTCTCCTCCAAGTTTGCTTGCATGCAGAAGAGAAAGTTGCCATCCGCGCTTCTCCCTCTTTTGTGTTTCTTGTTCATCAACGCCATCACTTGTCAGCGAGACGACAGACTGCTAGAGAGACACGGCGGGAAAAGTAGGTCATGACGAACCGTCAGAGGTGCTGACAGCTCTGTGAAATGAGCAGCTACTTTGACATGAATACTAATCACTGTTGTTACCGTCAGAAGAAGCCTCGGCTGAAGGCGCGTAACGCGACTTTCCCACTCGACTGCTGGAAACGCCGACGGCTAGGTTATGCATGGTGGAATGTATCTCTCTGAACACGGCTCCTAATGACTCATCTGATATCACCGAGTAGCAGGGTTATTGGGTTTTTTGAATATTTTGTCAAAGAGTAACCCGACAAACACAATCTATTTGCCTTACCCGTTCCCCGGCTGACATTTGAAACCATTTCTTGCTTTTATTTGACAAATCCAGGTCTGGTCAGCAGAAAAGGTCAGGCCTGAGATCCTCTTATGTATCCGTTATTGTATTTGCCTACTTCCTCCAGACTGGCAATTCATATTCATTAGATGAACCTTAAAGGTCAGCCTTAAAAACCTGAAGCAACAAGCTGATGTCTTAAGTGTTTCCTCAGCGTACCACTCACTACACTTCAAAAAGGAACATAGCACCGGCTCAATGGCACATTAGTAAGAAACTATTGATCAGCAAATGATGAGCGCTGCTTTCCACATTATGCAAACATCAAACCATCTATATATAGTAGAGGGTTGCCCTGAAGCAGCATGATTTGAACGCAGCCTCCTGACGTGCCATTGCACACAAAAAAAGTCAGAATGCTTTTTTGGTTAAAACATCTGGCGACGTGGTACATGGATGATTTTTTTTTTTGCTATTTATGTGGAGTGCACTACATTTTAAGAGGCTATTGAACAGCAGTTTGATACTCGTAATCATTCACTTTTCTCTGCTTATTCTGGTCCCTAACCGCTCTTTAATCCGACCACGGCTCACAACAGCGGTTTTAAACTCCACATGCACTTATCACAAACACTGAATTTTGGTTCATAGCATCGACACTATATTTAGACTCCGGGGACATGTTTTTTTCATTTTGACTTCTTAAAAAAACGTGAGTGAGACACACCCTGATGGTAACGATGGCAGTACGTCTGTTTGTATTAACCATTGGACGTTCGGAATGTGGTGGAAACCCATAATTTGATCCCTGCACGGTGGTTTTTCATGTTGCAGCAGCATGTAATGAAAAGGACCTCTCAGAAACGGTTTCAAGAGTCTGGCCAGTTTCTAAGAGTCTCAGTAAAAGCATTTGATAGTTTGGCACAACATTTTCAGGTCCCTTTCTTTTATTACAAATAAGCATAATGAGTTACATAATATTCCAATAAAAAATGCATATGAAATGTAATCATATTTATTCATTTCCATAGCCACATTGTTGTATACTACATACCGGTTGTCTGTTAGGGACCTTTTGTTAAATGAAAGCTAGAAAATGCATGTCACTATGACACAAATCTTCTGTAGTTGACATTTATGAAGTCACATGGAGGTGCTGGAACACTTTACCAAACACAAACACGTGCATATTATTTACCTGCCCCTCTTCAGAGAGATAAAGCTTCCACGAAGCTGTAAATCAGTAATATCACTGTCACATTACTGTGATCGCACAGAGCGAGAGCACACGGGCTCCTGCTGGCAAAATGTACCCGATGAGAAAAACGGGAAAACATCACATTATATTTCTGACCAAATATGTCTGTTTTTTTTCATTATTCCCAGGTCCAGAGGGTCTCGGGTTCAGCATCACATCCAGAGACGTACCCATTGGTGGCAGTGCTCCCATTTATGTGAAAAACATCCTTTGTCGAGGGGCCGCCATCCAAGATGGCCAATTGAAAGCCAGAGACCGGCTGCTGGAGGTGGGGCGGCGCTTTCTAGCTTCCTAGCCTCCAACCATCCTATAGTGTTTGCATACAATCCAACAGTGTGTGCTCTGTGAGATTGTACGCTACTTCAGACACTAATTGCTCATTCGCTGATCTGGTTTTGTTCTGAAATTAAATCTTACAGAGCTTTTTGTTGAAATGAGCCAAACACACTGTGTTCCCTACGGCTATAACACTTCAGCTCCAGCTTTGAATTGCTGAGGAGATGTAGTTAGTTGGAAAAATATTTTGATTATACTTCAATCGGACTGACGTGAAAATCAGCTAGTGCTCACTTTAGGGGGAAATAACCCATGTTTAAAACCAGCTCCGACGGGCTCAGTGGGTAATCTGCATAAAGGTTATGTGGAGGCCGTAAATCCCCCCCCTCCCCCCCTCCCGTTAGAGTCAGAGAGCTCTTTGATTTTAGCTTTGCCGCTTAGTGTGTGTGTACGTTTATTTTGGCTTGTATGTATGTGCTTACCGGAGTATTTATGATCTGTGTGTGTGTGTGTGTGTGTGTGTGTGTGTGTGTGCAGGTCAGTGGAGTGGACCTGAATGGCAAGAGCCAGGAGGAGGTGGTGGCCCTGCTCCGAGCCACGCCCATGGGTGGGACTGTGAACCTGTTGGTGATCCGCCTCGAGGACTCGCTGCTGCCCCGAGAAGTGGTCAGTAGACAGCCAGCACCTCACTCTATTTCCACTGCTGCAGTCCCACTCTGACAAGAGAATAACACATTAGCAGTTGATTGCAACAAGTAGGAATCCAACACTTCCTAACAAGTGATGTATTTGATACTAGAGGAGAGTGGTGCCTTATTGTTATTCTCACTTTTTAACCCTTAAAACATACATTTGAATTGAGCAGAACTGGGATTATTTTATTCAAAATAAATTGATAAACGACTGGTATACTGACTGAGATGGTAATTGTTTTTTGGTGTATATTACAATAATTATTGTTTACAGGGAATTAACCACACCCCCAAAGTCAATTTGGTCCAGCATATCGCAGCTGAGCTCAAAGAACTCACTCTAGGAATATGATAAAGAGCAATACATGTCACATTCAGAGCAGCTGGGATATGGATTTGTCATGGTGGCTGCACAGATGTGCCTTTTAACTGCTCCTTCCACCCGTACCCTCCCGTTATGCTGTGTCTACTGTGTATTTTAATCAGCGTTGTATTTGTTAAAAGAGGTTGGCAGCTGCTCCACTCTGAAGGATGTATGCCTACAAAAGACATGCCCTTAAAATCAACAGGATTATGATCCAAATGCACCTAAATATTCACCGGCCTCCCCACGTTCACCCGAGCAGAATGAGAGCTGATAATCACATGATAAACACACATGGTCCCCTAAGTGTCAGGGTAGACGTGGACACAACCAACACACAAACACACCGTTAACTAAATGTGAGACACGGATACAGCTGTGGGCACAAACACCCACACGTTTTGTGCAGATGTGCATAATTGCACACTTTCACATATAGAAACACACAGGGGTTTATGGTTAAACACAAGTCATGTGCACGAGCAGACACAATCACAGCTTTTAGCATGTGCAGACACCCACACACACACAGGCGCACACACTGACCACTACACACGCACACACACATACACACACACCCAAGTAACGTGCATGAGCAGCCACAAAGAGCTTTGGACATACTCGCACACATATGAACAGGGACACCGACATGCACACAGACTGCTCGTACACACACACAAACACACTCAGACACACAGCCTACACGCAGGGTGACTTTGGCTGTCGTGCAACAGATGGTGAGGCTACTGCCCTCGTCCAGCCTGCGCTCAGTCTCGCTGACAGCAGGCCCCGGCGTCACTGCACCTTGGCAGTCCAGGGGCCCCCGGTGCCAACCTCAGTCCTACCCGTAATACTCAGCCCGGCACCCGGGCTGTTAACCCCGCCAGAGGAGCTGCTCTACCTGCAGAGTGACGGCCCTCTGAGGCACATTTTGCTGTGCTAATGTGCCTGTTCCTCCAGTTAGAAATGCCCCCCCCCCCCCAGACTTAGCTCCACTCTCATCGAGTTTCTTTCATTTTAACATTCATAAAGTGGCAAATGGGCTCATATTTCACTACTTGCATTGTAAAGTAAAAATAATGATGATTGAATGAAAATGAAAAGTGAACTTAATGACAGTATATGTGATGTTTTTGGCTGCTGCTGGCATCAAACCTCTGACCTGCTGGTTACTCAACAGAGTCTTTTAACTACATCCAGCACTTACATTCTAACTGCAGGGATGCACCAGGCTGCAGACAAGAGGAGGGTTAAAAAAATGCACGGCTGCCCCAGGGCTGTCGACTCATCAGAGGTGGTGTGTGTGAGAGTTCGATGACTACGCTCTCTTAGCTCCTCAGGCATGACACCATTAGAAGAAAAAAAAGCCCATCATGGAAACACTGTCTAACAATCTCTCTCTGTTTTTGTCTGCTTTCTCTCTTTTACGTCTACTGTACATGCTTTGAGAGAATGTTCCTTCATATTTCACCACTTTCCACCGCAGATTAGCATTTTGCTACTCTCTCCCTTACTGTTGCTTTTTTTTTTGTCATCCTCTCGCACACTTTCACATTTCCCAGCAGTGCTTTCACAAATCTCAATAATCCCTACAAGTATGTTCATAAAAATCAGATAAGGAGGCCAAGGCTCTGCCGGTGACAGTTATTGCAAATAGAGCATGGAGGAAAAGCATGCTTGGTAATTGCCTCCTCTGTCACACACTCTGGATTGGTGCGTGTGTGTGTGCGTGTGTGTGCATAGTATATACTACACGTTGTAGTGCCAGGACACACATAAGCACACATGTATAGATGATCGCTTACGTGCTTTCATTTATGTAATTCCCTCAATGCCAACGCGATGATGTTTTATATTGTAGCGTGAGTGACATGCCAGAGAACTGCAGGCGTCTGTCAACATACAGCCCTGCACACACCACACACACACGTATAGATGAAAATAGAAAGGAGCCATTTTTCTTTTTGTCTAATTGACATTTGCCTGCTGATGTTTAATGTCAGTGCCGGAAAAAAATCCCTCCACGTCTCCTTTTGTTTAGATATTTTATTGAATGCAAGGCTCGTCGCACGCGCCCCCAGAGGAATTAATTTACCCTCCCAGCATGTTTGCATTGCGTCTTTAATTGCCACGGTCGGGGTGTATTTTGACATGCTTCCAGTAGCAGTAGCAGCAGCTCTCGATAGCTTTCAATAAATATGTACTCGCTGCAGAGAGAAAAGGTTAAATGGCAATAGAGCAGAGAGGGGGGGGGGGGTCTACATGTCTGTCTTTGTCTGTCTGGCTACCTCTCTGAGGATATCAGTAGACATTTTTGTGTGTTGAATCAGAAAAGTAGAGCAGCGTTAACCTTTTACCCAACACTGGACTCATCACTAATAGGCCTGCCCTTTCATGCCTCTTTCCTCCCTCTTAAACATTTACCATCCATGATAATACAGTCATTTATTATATTCCTCATTGAATGATTCTTTTTTTGTTTTGTCTCTCTGGTTCTGTCGTGTTCTACAAGTTTGGTTCTTTGGGACGAAGCCTTTTGACCTTCAGGTTATAAGACCGAGGAGGGGAGAGACGAGCAGAGACGAGCAGACAGAGTTCTCTCTAAAAGCTCAGCTCAAGCCTTGAAGACACAGCAGGAGGCGCTGATCAATGGCTGTGTGAACAAAATAACTTTGTGCTGCGTTATTCCTTCATTTGACAGCTGTGGGAGTTCCAATCAGTGATCTCTGAGCAGGAGCTTTGGAGCTGACTAAAGGGAGAAAGTCAAAGGGATTGCTGCCCCCTACGGGTTTGGAGGTTAATTCATCACTTGTATCATAAGAGGGGGCTGTTCTGAGGAGGGAGAAAGAAGTGCCGTGGTGAAAACTCAGAATGAGTGACTCAGTGCTTTGTGATCTTTAGAGAACTTCATGAATGATCTCTCAGAGCTTGTGTCTCCCCACCTTTGTAATCTTATTAGAGGTGAAAGGAACTGGAGAAAGGGTTCATCCGACACAAAGGGCTTATGGGGAATAGGGTAAGACAGACAAGGGTCATTTAAATGGAAAATAGTCAAAAGTAAATCATTTTAAATCTTCACGGATTGGAGTTAGGTGGAGGTAATACTCAAAGCCAATAGTGTCTTCCCTCTGTCACTCTGACACCAACCGCCACGCTCTCCCTTCACATTATCCATGACCTCGGATGCAATCACCTGCCTGGTAACACTGACCACAGCAAGGCTCGATAGTAAAGATGTATTACAGAACAAACCCAGACACAAAAACACAAATTCCCACATGGAGGCAAGAAGGGCACATTTAAGCACATTTAAACACACGCACACGTACACCACACACTTCCCACGCATAGCCGCTGGATGTTATTTATTGTTGGCATTTATCTCCCAGCGTGCAGCACTGTCTGTGCTCACAGCTGCTTTGAGCGACGCCGAGCCCCTCGGTCCAGCTTTGCAGAGTGGAGATTGTTTTTTTCCCCAGCTTCCCTTTTTTTTTTTCTCCTGTAATAACCAAGGCGAATGTCACGCCTCACTGCGCGACGAGCAACGGCAACATTCAGGAAGCGAGGAACCATTCCTGCCTCCTCTCAAAGACGTCCATCCACACCCTGCCGCCTAGTGATGGACCGCCACATCAATTCACCTGTTGTGGTGCCGTTTAGAGCAGACACGGCCAAGCAAAGGCAGAGGAACCTGATCTGTGACCGGCAGTTTATTACATAAACAATGACTAAATATAGTGCAGGCCTGCCAGTAGCAAATCATGTGAATTCTAGGATGCTGCTGTGTCAGCATGACTCTCAACTCATCCTCCACACACACACACACACACACACACACACACACACACACACACAGTATGCATGCACTCAGTCATCCCCTTAAACATATTTTAAGCGACACCACAAATGCTAACCCACTCCGTGTAAAAACCTGACATGCAATATGGGCTTGATGAGTCACATATGCTCAAGAGCCATAATAGCGTTGTCCATGCACGCCCTTACATCATCCCGTGACCCGTAGATGAGCAGTATTTTTTTTTATGTCCAATGGGCCCGTTGGCCGTGGAGAACAAATGGGCTTGTGAAGCTGCTGTTGTAACACTGAGGACCACATAAGAGCAATTAAACAGTACATTAAAATCCCCTCTTTACGATCATATCGCACTTGTCACTGATCCATTAGTAGCTATGTCTGCCAAGCAATGAGAATCTTAATTGCACGATTAATTCCGGCCCCTGATTGATGTGACCGCCAGATTTATGGCCCGTGCGGATGCCGGGGTATACGCGGCAGACAAATGCGTGACAGTGTTGCTGACAATTATGGCAGACTAATGGCCTGTTTCATAAGTGACAACCCTGGTGCCATGCGTTTACCAGCGGACTGTAATTGAGGTACTCAGGAGCACTCCATCTGTAGTTCCATTGATTTAGCTGGAATCCTATTTGTACGAGTCTCTGAAATCATTATATACAGTAGGAATAAAAGCACTGCTTCCCTGACATGGATCAGACGCCCAAACAAGCTCACCATTGTCTTTCCCTTCCAAAGTCAAAGCAATCATCGTCAGTGTTGCGTTGCGTCGCGCAATTATTCACAGCAGATG